AGCTATACCTGTTGCTTTTAAATGCTGTAGGGACTGTACATGTTGGTCTGGCAGGATTGTACATCCTGCTTAAGCAACTGGATCGCAGCTGCGTGCTCATGTTGTAGCTGTGCAATGTTGTGATGGCAGGACTTTTGGAGAAAACGGAGATTCATTAATGTCTATTCCTTGTTTCAGGTGCAATCATTACTTCTCGATCCTTTCTGAACATCTCATGCAGGACCTAGTCTTTCCAATGCGTGAGATGAATATGAACGAGGGAGAGTTCTGTCTACTCAAAGTGCTCATTCTTTTCCGCGTCGGTAAGTCTTGCCGTAATTCAGAATTTTTCAAACTCAAGCTCGATTTTCACGCCGCTCGTGGGCTCAACCCTTCCCTTCTGAAGCTGCTCCTTCTGTACGACTGGAATTTTTCAAAATTTAACCACTGTATAGGTCATTCCGAATCAACTTTCTGGTCATTGCAGATCACCGCCTGTCGGAAGAAGGCAAATTACATGTGACCAAAGTTCGTAACAAGTACATCGACGCCCTCTATCATCACATTCAACACGAGTACCCATCTTACTCGGCTATCGAAGTCGCCCAGCGAATCTCAAAACTGCTATTGCTTCTTCCCAGCATTGAAGTGAGCAATTTTTCTTGGACTTTTTTTCGTAATTACTCTTTTAGACACGACTGCATAACTGGTCAGGTAGAGCCTCTCCTTTGTATCGGGGAGTCCGGTACGCGATCGCAGGGGTTGTACCACTTTTGCGGCTGACAAGTGAATGTCAAGGGTGCTGAGGTCAGTTTCTCATAACAACTTCCCCCCCCCCCCAATATGGACGCTGCCTTGAGAGCAAAGGCATCGGCAAATGCGTTGAATTGTGTCGACTTGAAAAACAAGGGTGCTGAGCCGATTATCCCTCGTAGCGACCCCGCCTACCGATAGCGACGTCACTATGCGAGCAAGTCCATCAACAAATGAGTCTAGTCGTTTCTTCTCGCCCATCTTATTGTTCGAGCACCCGTCACCTGTGGTCTCTCCCCTACGCTAAGAATATCTCTTTGCTTATCGCTTTTCTGTACTCTCGTCCACATGAGGAGGGCCTTATTTGGAGCGTTTCCGACAGTTTTGTCGCGGACTTCTTCACCTATCCATCCGCATTTGCACCCCACAACTCACGACTTGCAATCGCGAAATGTGTAGTTGAGTCAGCGATCTCTCATTAACTGTTCACAAAGGAGGTAGTGGAATCACAATTACATTGTTTTAAATTGTCAATTTTTAAATGTTCAGCATTTGTCACAACAAGAAGACGATAACGTCCAGTTTCTTGCTCTTTTCAATTTGGCCAATCTTAACGGACTTCCGTACGAGCTGCATTCGGCAACCAAACAACAAATCCGTGATGAAGATCCCACTCAGGTAGTAACTACTGAAGGCCAGTTCATGCCGACTTTCTTTTATTAGTTAGATTTTGACATGCGCTTGAACATGAAAGTTGATTAAAACTCTAGTGATAAAGGTTTAGTCACCAAAAATATCTATGTTCTCACGCATGTCTGCTCTTCGTGACTTCAGATCGCCCTTCACTCGTGGGTGTGAGTCGTTAGTTTCCACACAGTTGGTTACTTAGTTGGCTCGACACGCCTCCGCAATTCGTTAGCTCGTTAACTTGACACCCTGCAATTCGCTAGCTAGTTGACCTCACACTTCATTAAGTCT